TCAGGCTAAGTTTTGACCAGCAGAGAAAGTAGAGGGGAAATATACTTCTTTCTTTCCTTTTTAAGGTGATGGTAAGCAGAACATCTCTATTCCCAGCTACTCATGAGGCTGAGATCTGAGAATTATAGTTTGGATTACTCTAGGTTGACAAATCTGAGAGAGTACTGTTTGCAGTTAATCAACAAAAAAAGTGGGAAGTGAAGGTGTGGTTCAAGTGGTAGATCACACCAGCCTGGGTATGGGTGGGAGAGCCAAATAAGAACAGTAGGCCTGGAGTTCAACTTCCAGTCTGGCACTCTCTCCCCACCCTGGATAGATGTAAAAGAAACATAAAATTTACTATATGAATCAATTTTAAATGTATAATTCAGTGCTATGTTCATCACCACCTTGTCCACATAATTCTTCATACTCCAAAACTAGATTCTGATAATAAAGCACCTTTTCCCCCACACCCACTCTGTAGACCTTAGCAGCCATCATGCTAATTGGTGTATGTATGTGTGTGTGTCTGTATTGTGTGTGAGATGTGCTGGGACTAGAATTCTAACTTCAGGCCTCTCACTCTCACTTGACTTTTTCTTTCATGATTGGCACACTTCCATTAGAACCCCAACTCCATTTTGGCTTTTCTTTGCTGGTTAACAGATAAAAGTTTTGAGGATTTGTCTATTCTGACTGATTTTGAACTGTAATCCTCAGATTTCATTCCCTTGAGTAGTTAGAATTTCAGTTCTGAGCCACCAGCGCCTACTTGCCACTCTTTAATTTTTTTTTTAATTTAATTTTATTTGTGAACATACTGTACAGAGGGGTTACAATTACATGGGCAGGATAATGCGTACATTTCTTACCAAGCATTGCAGCCTCCTCCTTTGGTTTACCCTTCACATCCCTTCCCAGCCTCCCCCCTTCCCCCCAATAACTCTTTAATTTTTTATTTTTGTTGGTCATGGGGCTTGAACTCTGGGCCTGGGCACTGTCCCTGTGCTCTTCAGCTCAAGGCTAGTGCCACTTATGGTTTTCTGGTGGTTAATTAGAGATGAGTCTCACAGACTTTCCTGCCTGAGCTTGGGCTGGCTTTGAACCATGATCCTCAGATCCCAGCCTCCTGAGTAGCTTAGATTATAGACGGAGCCACTAGCGCCTGGCTCACTCTTAATTTTTTTGAGTTTGAATTGCCTGCCATGTAAATAAATGGAATCATATAGAATTTGTCTTCTTTGTGACTCCCTTATTTTGTGTAGTATAATATGTTTAAGGTTCAATTATAAATATCCTTTGGACTATCCTTCTTAATTTAAGGTGGTTTTTTTTTTTTTTTTTGGGTTGGTCATGGGGCTTGAACTTTGGGCTTGGGCGCTGTCCCTGCACTCTTCAGCTCAAGGTGAACACTCTAGCACTTGAGCCACAGTGCCACTTCTGGTTTTCTGGTGGTTTATTGGAGATAAGAGTCTTATGGTCTTTCCTCCCCGGGCTGGCTTTGAACCGAGATCCTCAGATCTCAGCCTCCTGAGTAGATAGGATTACAGGCGTGAACCAGCACCCGGCTCTCAAGAACTTTCCTGCCCCGGCTGGCTTTGAACCATCATCCTCAGATCTCAGCCTTCTGAGTAGCTAGGATTACAGTGAGCCCAGCTTTGGGTGGTATTATAGTCATGTGTGCACATGTGTGTATATCATATTTTTTACCCCTTCATCCAGCAGTAGACACCTGGCTATTCCAAATAATGCTCTGAACATGGCAATAATTTATTAATGTTGGAATATATCTATATCTGTGTGTAGAATTGTTCATTTATTGGCAAGATTTCCCCCATCTGGGGCTTGAACTTAAGACCTGAGTGCTGTCTCTGAGCTTTTGTGCTCAAGGCTAGTCTAGCCCTACCCCTTGAACCCCAGCTCCACTTTGGCTTTTTGTGGCAAATTGACTTTTCTGCCTGAGCTGGCTTTGAACTATAATCCTTAGATCTTAGCCACCTGAGTAGTTAGGATTATAAGTGTGAGCCACTGGTGCCTGGCTATATGTATGTTTTTTACAAAAGTATTTTTTTCCATTGAGTGTTCAAGGATTCTATTATTTCATATCCTTATCAATAGCCATTATTCCCCTCCCTCCCTCCCTCCCTCCCTCCCTCCCTCCCTCC